CGGGGTGCCGGCCGGCGGGCGTAGACGGACCCGGGGATCTGTCCGAGCAGGAAGCGAGCAGGATCCTGGCCACCGCTGTCACCTCCCGCACCCTGTGCCGCCCGTGTCGTCATTCCTCCCTCCTCCTCGTCACCTCTCACCCACGCCCCCAGGTCTCACTGGCGACAGGTAACCCCGGTGCCGCACACCTGCCTCTCCGCCCGCACCGGTAAGTGTCCCGAAGCCCCGACCTCCCGGCTCTTCGCCGGCCAAGCCCTGCGCCGGGGCTGACGGCTCATTTCCCTTTCCCAGGACGCAGGTGGGTGCAGCAGGTGATGGGCGGCACCGGGCGGTGACCGTGACCGGGCGCCGGCGGCAGCTCTCCTTAGTGCCAGTGGTGGCTCACATTTCCCCAGGTGGACAATGAGACTCTCCTTTTACGGGTTTATTATCTCCAGGGTACTTTTGCATTTCTTCTCTGGTCTCAGAGACTGACCACTCAGGTGTCCACCTCTGACTTAGACCCCATGATCGTTTTGTTTTCCCTTTTTGTCAACAAGCAACAGTCAGTGCAGGAAGAATGCGTTTTGTTCTCAAATGTGAGGAGTAGTTTTGTACAGTTTAATCATTTGGAGAGTAGGTTGGGACTCTCCAGAGTTGTATTTTCATTGGATAGATGGCCCCGTACCAAAAGTATGCTTGCTTCTGTCAATGTAAGTGTTAATTTCCCAGACTCCTTAAAATGACCGAAGTCTGAATTTTTTGCCTTAAGTGAGGACTAATTTGTTAATGCGGCTAGTAGAGCTTGTGTGTCAGAAATAGGGTTATACAGTTTCAGAAAACAGACTTTAATCTGGCTAAACATTTTTGGTGGAGAGATGCAGCAAAATCCACTTGCAGCAAAAAAAAAAAAAAATCCACTTGCAGCTTTTAGTTGCAAGTGAGGACCACTGCCCGAATTTAATAAAAGTTTGGTTTCTGGTGGGGCATATTTAGCAATACAGCTAAATATAGTCAGCACTTGAGAGTTTTAAAATCTAGTAGTCTTAAGGCTTAACAGGAAACGTCCTCACACCATAAAATGTGGATCTTGAACTTGAGTTGGTAGTGGGTACAGTACAAAGGTTGGCAGCAAAGCAACATTTCTGTACAAATTAACTGAACTTCATAGATGTCTTGGGTATTGTGGTTTTCCAGTTGGAAATACTTAGTGAAATTAGCATACTGTCTTTTATCATCAATTTTAGAAACACCACAAATGTTACAAAGTGAGTTATGGCCAGAGCTGGAAACAATACAGCCATTCAAAAGTAGCTTATTGACTTTTAAATATCCAGCTTATTTTGAGTATTTTCAGTTGCCCAGGAATCACATCCAGAGTGGTAAATAGAAGTCATTTTGTTGTAGGTAAATTTGCTCTTACATTTGTGTGACCTGTTCACATGCTGTAAGTTACATTTGTGTTTTAAAGAACTAATTTTAGAATGCAGTGACAGTGACAAAGAATAGGTCTTAGATAAAAAGCATAACATGAAATATAAAACTATGTACATGAAATACAAAGCATGGATGCTCTTCATTAGTCCTAGAAACATTAGAAAAATGTAGTGAGCTATTGCAACATTTAAAGCAAATTAATGCAAGGGATTGAAAAGAGTTCATGTATGAGCTTTCAACAGTAGTTAGAGTATAGCCCAGTAGGCTTATCTGAAAGGGATTTTTCCGCCTGTTTATGTTTATGTGATCGAGTTTTAAAATAACAGTGGCCAGGAAATCTGAGAGAGGCTGGAGGCTGTTTTCTCATCCTGTTGTGACTTCTGCCTGGAGTCTGTGGTGTATCATGTAGCCCATTGTTTAGAGGACGGGCTGTATCTGGGTTCCAAGATAGAAAGTTTTATAGGTTTTGACCATGTGGAATTTGAATAAATACTAGTACCCCAAATATTGAAACAAAAACAGGATCAGAAAAATCAATTTTCACTGTTTGTTGATACTTGAAGCCCTCTCTTTGATATGTAAAAATGTCAGTTTCAAAAAGATGTCTTTGACCTTTGCGCAACTTCTGTCCTGTGTATTGAAAATACCATATTTTAAAGGACTGCGAAAAGAACAACACTTTTAATAAATCCCATGCAGTTTAATTGTGATGCCTATCATAAGACAATTCATAATCATTTCTTTTTTTTTTTTTTTCATAATCATTTCTGAGTTGGTTTATTAGTAGTGTAAGAATGTCACTCAATTAGCCAGCTGCCATAAGTGAAACACTAACTGAGCTGGTCGCTCTTGAAAATCATTTTCAAGGTTAATGGTGGTATAGTCTTAACATCGGGGAAATGGAGGCCTGGAGAATTAAGTACTTCTCTCACAGTGCTGTTTACCTGTATTCGTACCTCACTCAAGCTTCTCACCCTGCAGCTTTTGTTCTTTCTCCCAGGCCTGGTTGCCTGGATTTCAGCTCAATTGGTAGATTATTTAACTAAATCTATACAACTGGTATTATGTTAAAGAGTGTAACAAGAAGCTTCGAGAAAGTCCTCGGAGTGGACCTAATTTAAAATTCCGTGTGTGTTTCTTCATTCTCAAGTTCAAAGTCAAAATGTGATCTCATGTTGTTGATAATTTCTGCTTTCGTCCCAGAATGATACATATACATCATTGTGATGGCTTTTACTGATTTATTTATATTTTTGGTTTCATAGTGGACTTTATTGGAAAAAGTTGGTATAAGAAAATATTCAAATTCAAAAAATTTAAATCAGATAGTAAAATTATACCTCGCAGTTATAGTTATCACAAATAAGGTGAAGTATTGCTTAAGCAAACCCTATTCTTTTGCAAGGCCAAGGCAGGAGACATTGCAAGTGATGCTTTTTATTTAATGGTCTTTAGATGAACTAGAATTGGACTGTAATCTAGTAATGGTTTTCATTATAGTTAAAATGAAATGGTCATGGTTATGATACAACTTTGAAGTCTTCCCCAAATCAAATTGTTGTCCATAAATACAATAGCTATATTTTAAATATTATACAATTAGGTATTCCCACGAGGGGGAAATTTGTTTTAAGATTATGATTAAATTGTCACCTCTACTATTAGGACACATCCTTTTTATGGCTCTTGTTTATTTTAGGAATGTCCCTTGAGCTGGGGTAGACAAAGAGGACAAAAATGAGCACATAAGGCTGGTCTCTTGTAACGTATCGAAAGTCACATTTCAGTAATAGAATGAAAGTGGGAAAATGAGCAGAAAAGGGTAGAGGATGAATTGGGTAGCTAGAGTGAGTATGGTCTCATTTGTTGGTTTGAACTATTAGGAATTTTTTACCTCAAAGCACCTATAATGTTGATTGTAAAAACAAGTCCAGAATTTAAAGGCTTTTATTAAAGGATGATCTGTGACATAGCTGTTTTGGCTATTATTGTTATTTTTTTGCTATAGATATTTATGAACTTGTTAGAATGAAGTAAGTTCCTAACTTGTATTTTTGAGGTGTTATTTAATGTGTGGGACCCTTGGGTGGTACACATGATTAATGTGCTTGACTGCTTCCTGTACGCTGGGCAGTTTGGGATCACTGAGTGGTGTCTCTGACAATTTACCCTGAAAAGTTAGCCATTGGACACTCTGGGGAACAGTTCTACTCTGACATGTGTGGATTGCTAATCTCGAAATGCAAGTATTAGATTATATGTTTCTGCTTATGGATTTAAAAAATAAACTTTTCCTTCCTTCCTTCCTTCGTTCCTTCGTTCCTTCCTTCCTTCCTTCCTTCTTTTTTTTTTTTTAAATCGGGAGTAAGGATTGACCCGAAGTTCTCCCCATTAATACTGAAGTAAAACCAGAAGAACAGACGTGGCATCTTTAGAGAGCTTCTGAGTAGTAAATATAGAGGAAATGCAGAGAGCCCGTCTCAGGTGAAACCAAAACACTGGCACACATTCCTTCAGTGCATATTCACACAGGCAGCTCCTCCGTCCCGAGTGTCATACACAAAGGCAGGTGGTGCTGGTGACACCAGTACAGGCATCTTTTGTCTATGATTTCACTTGTTATTTTATTTGAAAGTAACCTCCTGATTAACCTTTAGAAGGCAGTGAATTGTGTGTGCTAGAGATTTTTTGGTTTCTATTATATGTAAATGAGTCTCTTTTCCAACAAATATTTACTGAGGGCATACTCTATTTGAGCTATAATTAAAGGTGTGCACTGGTTCCTCCCTACCTGGCAGACCTTTAGATCTAGGAAACTGGAAGAGTGACTAAGACATAAAATTGGGGGGGGAAATAAATAAAAGAAACCATTCTTTTAAAAATCCAAAGAGGTTATGTCACAAGTGAATATCCTACTTGTATGGAAGTTTTGTTTTCAAAATCATTTTACATACATTTGGTCCTTAAAACAACTTGATGAGTGAGATGGGGCTGAGTGTATTATTACATCTGGAGACTGAAGACAAGAAAAATGATGAAACTTCTTGAAGGGCAGCAGAGTTCAGAATGGACCCTCTGTTTGTTCATCCCAAAGCAGTGACGTCCAGTTCTCCACCCCACTGCGTAGTTCTCTGTCGTCTAGATGTGGTTTGCTGCCGTCACGGTGAGCTCCAACTCATGGACATTGTAGAAGGTGCAGAATCTGGTGTCACTTTGAGAGGATTACGAGTGAAGGGGTGGAGTCTGACCTGTCAATCAAGATATAACCATTGAGGCTTCTGTGTGATACCGGTATGGCCTTCTCCTGAGAATTGTGGGAACTCCTGTATTTTCCTCCTTGGAGGTGGGAGACTTCTCTCTCTCTCCTCACCAAGAGTCTCTCTACTGACAAGACACATGGGGCTATGCTGATGGCAGTGAGAACCCTGGACCTGCAGGAGCCACGTGGAAGCCCCTGCCAGCACCCAGATGCTTATAATGCTCCTGGATCCACAAGACTTCCCATCCACTAGCCTGTGATCTTCCTTCATCCGGCATCATTGCATGTATTTCGTGAGTCTGAAGAGGACTTTATAGATTGGTATTGGACATATGAGCTGATACTGGACTTACGGACTTGATCTGGACTGGGCTGGATGTTTTCTCAATATTCAACTGTTCTTGTCTTTAAAGCTCTTTCTTATACACAGACGAGTGCCTACGGATTTGTTTCTCTAGTCAACACAGACATGATGCCCAGTCTTGTGCCATTTCCACGATCATAGTGTTTTCATGGGCTGTTTTCAGAATTAT